TTTTATTCAAAATATCGGTTATTTGAAAATTATATATCCACAAACTGTCGAGTAATGCAATCAGATGATTGGAAAGAATCAGTACGATGTTAGGTTATGTTGTGTACTTGACTGAATCAAAAGAAGATATATTTCGACCAGGGTTAGTCCTTTATGAACTCTTCTTAAGGAATGAAACTAAAGAACAAAGGAACTACTCGGGTTTGAGGTTAGGTTATGTCACGTGTTTGACTAAATTGGAGGATTATTTGGATATTATTCGATTCATTCATTCATTCGATTATTGAAATTATTCACTGACGAGATACAGTTCAGTAACGACATTAGACCACGTGGAAGAATTAGCCAGTACGATTATTAGGTTATGTTGAATATTCGTCTGATCTAAAGGATTACGTGAAACAGTTGGCCAATAGGTGGGCAGAGGGCGCATACTACGCGATAAAACGCCAACTTCATGAAAGCGAGACGCCTCTGAAGATTTCTTACATTTCCCTACGAGCTTCTCGAACAACCTGATGATTCGAAGGAACAATTATTGTTGCTGCGATAGAGCAAAGCTCCCCTGAGTACCTCGGGCTTTCGAGGACGTCTTAAAGAACAGCGCTCTACTACCCAGCTTGCAATTACGAGAGGATGACAAGCAGGATAAATTGCACCGTCGCCTTTTAATCGGTTCACTTGGCTAAGGTTCTCGAGATATAGTCGTCTCCTAGCTACCACCAATTTCTTCCTCGGCCTTTTTTTTACACTAATAATTCCAACCAGCCCAAACCTAACCCGAATCGAGGGTGACGAGTAAGTAAAATAAACTGCATCGTCGTCTTTTAATCAATCTTCATTTGGCCGAGTATTGAAATTACGATCCTCGCTATTCTCATCGCAAACATGTTTATTTCTAGGTCGTTCGTGTGCCGGTGTATCTCCGATTGCCACCAGTTTCAAAAAATCCTCGTTTATTAATGAACTCAATTGCGAAACATACGATTTGCATATTTATCGGAGAAAAAACGAATAGAAATAAATCTCGCTATATCTTGTATCGTATATCTTCGAAGAAATTATGCAACTTAATCAAATGCTAATAACCATCGATGAATCTTAAACTTTAGACGGGCAATATCGCAAGAACGAGATCATGTAACAAGCCACATTTTTCCTAAGGATTACAGATACATTGTTACCCAAGACCAAGTCTATTACCAAATCTAAGTTTAAAGTTTAAAGAAATGGCGCGCAGTACCGTAACTATAAAATGGTCAAAGAACCCACCCCCCACCTCTAAATAAAAAAAAAAAAAATAAAAGAGGAAATGGACATTGGAAATTTTGTTATAAAATACCGTTTCAATGGGATAATTCAATTTCTGGTGTTATCGAATTCTCGTTCACGTCGGTGAGAAGAAATTGCACGCTGTTTAGGCACTCGCAACGCGGCGCCATTTTTTGGTCAGGTACTCGTGACGGCATTCGATACCTCGAAAGCTTCTTACGTTAAACGTATGTCGACTCTCTCACGAACTTACTCGGATAGAAGTAACGAGTTCGTTTTGGGCACTAGGCCATTTTTTCGGGGCCCAATTCTCTGTGGGAAGATTTTTTTCGCGGTAACCCGAGGTTCCACCGTCGCGCAACTGCACGAGGAATTTTTGTCGCGCCTTTCAGATGGTCCGAGGTATTTGGAACGTCTCGCTGACGGATCGTAACAGGTGTTCGGATATTTCGAGAGCTTTGAGAAATTTCGAGTCGTTCGTCATCGATGCGGTCTTTGTTTGCGCAGGGAAATCGCGAGGGACCGACGACAGAGGAGGCAATTAAGTTTCGGTTGGGCAACAGCGGTGATTGAAAATGATTGAGCGACTGCAAAATTCGTGTGTCGGCACGGTAACGTGGACACGATAATTGGGCACTTTGGAAAACAATTATTGCAATGTGTTAATTATTTTAAATATTTGAAATCCAATTGCTGTGGAACATCCCTGCTATAATCTCTCGCTTGTACCAGAGAACTAGGGTTAGGTTAGATTAGAACTAGGGTTAGGTTAGGTTAGAACTAGGGTTCTGGTTTGGTAATCCCTGCAAACAAACCGTTTCGTGCCATAATGGCCATAATGGTACAATGACAAGGAAACAAAATGAGACTTTGCCTAGTGTTACAGGAAATTTCGAGTGTGCCTGTACATCTCGAAACTCGCTATTTATTGTTGGAATAACGACTAGACCAATCATTTAACTAATCTTGGAGAAAAATAAAAAGGGAAAAATGGCGCCCTTTCTCACACAATTTATTTCCTACCACGGATATGATTATACGTATACAAAGAAACGTGTCAACGGAGGAACGACAAACGCCAAATTCAAAATGGCATCTCGTCGAAATGGTATGTACCAATGGTGATAAATTTTCGTTAGCAAAGAGACACAGACGAGGATTAAAAAAATAAGTAGGGAGAACAGGAATAACAACAACAATAACAACAACTCGCGTTTCCCTGTCACAGGCGGGTAGCAACGATTCGATAATAGTCCATCGAGTGCACTCAGCTTTGTTGCAACCGATCTCAAGTATGATGGCACTCGAAACGAGCATTGCGCAATGCCGTGCCGCGTGCGCTGTCTTTGAACAGCTGCAATAATAGAAACGCTTGGCGCACGATCAAATCGTGCAATTTCTTCCATCTCCACCTGGTTACATTTTTGCCACTGACAAATTAAAATTCGCCAATGGAAGGAAATGAAAAAAAGAAAATGAAAAAAAGAAATTACCAAATAGATATTCAAAGTTACTAGACTTTACTAGGGAAAAGGTAGATTTCCATGTAAAATTTAATAGTCGATATTTTATCCGAGAATTCGATTAATCTCTCGCTTAAGTCCATTTCTATGAGACTCGTAAGTGAATCATTTTAATCGACTCGCCTACTTGTACAGGCTGCTACAAAAATAGCTCAGACTCGAAGGACTCGTAATACTTATCAAAGAGACTGAAAAAAACATTGCAAAACGCTATTTCTGCATCGCCATGGACAGATGTTTAATGGGTTTAATCTACTCGACCGTGACAAACAACGTAGTTGAATTGCAACAATGACAGTCATTGCGAAAGCCCGCGTATGCGTTGAAAATATACACGAGTGGACTCGTGATACACACGCGTGAACATGGCATTCAAAACAGAAAAAAAAGTTGCACCAAACGTAGTTGAATTGCAACAATGACAGTCATTGCGAAAGCCCGCGTATGCGTTGAAAATATGCACGAGTGGACTCGTGATACACACGCGTGAACATGGCATTCAAAACAGAAAAAAAAGTTGCACCGGACAGGATATAAGTCTCCATATCCGTGAACTTTCGCGTGTACGTGCGAGGACTCGATAATTAAAAGCGGTAGTATATCGAAAGAAATAAAGGGGAACTTTACCTGACGGTAAGAGAAACGTCGAGAGTCATTGATAATGCCCTTCGGGTTTACGAAACCGCTTAAGAACCATAACGGTTTACGTGCGCACACGTGGACATTTTACTTTCTAGGTTCCGGCAGCCGAAAGAGGGTTAAACGTGACGTTACACACGCCTATGGCGTGACTCACTGTCCCCACGAGATACCGCGATGCCCACGAAAACGCGACGCAACCTTTGAAACGTAGCTGCGCGCAACGGGACACTCGGCAATCTCCGCGACTACGCCCGAACATGCACGAACGCGCTAGTGACTAATTGGGGCTAGTCGTGCCGGCCGTCGCGCGCCGGGTTTATTCACTAGGATCGTCCGGGATAAGAGGGGCTGCTGTTCTTTGGACGCAAACAAGCCGGCTTTTCAATGGGATTGTTTTCGCGTGCTCGAATTAGTCGAGGTATGTTCAATGCACGATTCATCCGGACGATTTTAGGGGACTCGTTCGCGGATAATTTTGGAGATTGCCTTGTGAGTCGTTAATAGGATCCGCAACGGTAATAATAGCACGGGCGAATGATTGTTTTGCTGCCGTTTCTTGCCGAGAATAGCCGAGTTCTCGCGAAGTGTTATTTCTTCCGTGGTCATGCGTCCGAGGTGGCGTAAACATGTCTATATAGCTTTATTTAATTTGATGAACCGATGTTAAAGAGTTAAAGAGAAGAGGGAAAGTTTGTTGCGAGCTTACTCGAGAACTCGCTTAAGACACTGGGTAAAGAAAATTATTGACTGGCGGCTTGACCTTGCAAGAAGTTTGTCGTCGGCGAGTTTCGCCGCGCTTTTGTTATATCGGTTTCGGCCATTTGCATTCGAACCGAGTGCAACTTCCTTTAGAATTGATCTTGACCGAGTTGGATTTTTCAAATACGAAATATAGACTAGATACACGAAATATAGACTAGATATGAAATATATAACGCTAAAACCCTCGTTAATAACTCTGATAAATTTGTTTTTAATAAGTCAGACTTTACGAAACCCTCAGTAGTGATTTTTGATAAATTTTATGTAATTTTGAAAATTGCCTTTTTTTAAAGACTCGTCGATATTCGACCGATCTACTACCATTCGATATACTCGATGTACTTAATGCACTTCTACCGAATGCACTTAACGCACTCAATTTATTTAATGTACTCCACGTACTTAACATACTCGATCTACTTAATCAATGCGCTTAATCTACTCAATGCACTCGATGTACTCGGAACATTTAATACACTTTACGGCGCGCTGAACGCGCTCAACCTACTCCGTGTACTCAAAGTACTCGATTACTTATCGTGGACAAGATCATTAATCAATAGCAACTCGAAGTGTAAAGGGCTAAAATTAAAACCGACTACCTATACCCACACTTGGTACCCTCGACGAACTCCACTACTCCCGCAGCATCTAACCAACCGATCTACCACACTTCCAAGCAGTCATCAATTTCCCGTGAACCCTATCCTAGTCGATGCAACCGACGACCAGCACACATCATACGCAAGCAGCAAGCCGGAAAACCGGCAGTGCGCTTTCGAGGAAAACATCGCGTCGTACCTCTATTCAGCCTGCCCTCGTAGTGGTCTGGAACCGGCTCGCTGGAGTCCCTGACGTCTAGCTCGTGGATGGCCTTGGCCAGCCCGTAACAGGTCGACGCGTACTTCCTTTCTTCGGCGACAATCGCCTCCTCGACGTTCGTTTCCACGTCACTTCCGTCCTCGAAGTAGCCGCTCTCGTGCTCCGGGTTCTTCATGGTGCTCGTCGACGAGCCGCCACTCTTCGGCATACTCTCCACGCACAACCGATCACGGGCTCCCTAGACTCGCCGCGTCACTGCATAACGTGGCCGTGTGCTGCGTAACACGTGGCACGAGGACGATCAACAACGCGTCAACCGACCGAACGTCGCATGTTATGCTTCGTCGCGGTCCGATCTTGCCCGATTTTCGTTCGATGGTCGACCGAATGCGATTTTCTCGAGCTCAAGGACCCTTTCGCCGATTTCTCGAGCTTAAGGGCCTTTTCACCGATTTTCTTGCGCGGGACGAGTTTCCTTACCGATTTTCTTACGCCGGACAAATTTCCTTACCGGTTTTCTTGCGCCGCACGAGTTTCCTTACCGATTTTCTTGTGCCGCACGAGTTTCCTTATCGATTTTCTTGCGCCGGACGAGTCTTCTTACCGATTCTCTTACGTCGGACGAATCTCCGTACCGATTCTCTTGCCCCGCACGAGTTTTTTTACCGGTTTTCTTGCGCCGTACGACTCTTTCTGCCGATTTCTTTACACCGAACCGTATTCTCGCCGATTTTCTTGCGCTAGACGGTTTTCTTACCGATTTTCTATCGCCGTGCGAGTTTTGTTACCGATTTTCTTACACTGGACGGTCTCCGTCTTCTTTTATGCGACACCGTCACCTGGAAGTCGCTGAAAATCCATCGGTCAACCGATTTTTCCCGCGCTTTCTTTCTAAGCGATGTACTCGCGCTTAGTATGGACTCGATTTACTTGAAGACTGTCTTTTTCTCTGGCACCGGCTACTCTGGTGCTTTCTAAGACTCTAGCGTGCGTATACCTGTGTACAGAACGAGCGATTAACGCGTGGCACGGTGATCGGGGTACTGATCCGGGGCAACGAAGATGGATCGTTTCGCTGACACCGGGTTCACTATTTTTCCGTGTTAAACGCAAATCTTGTTAACCTTTTCACGGTGAGGAAGAAGATACAATCAGGAAAAAAAATTATCCGAATTCCTAATCCCAAATTATGAAAATCTTTTGCATTTTTCCACATTGAGATTTGAGAATTGAGAAAATATTTTCTTTTTATCTCAAGACGATCGATTGATGCTTAATCTTTCATATTTGAAATTTTTGGCATTATAAATAATAATGAAACTCGTTTGGTTATATGAAAAATGAAAAATAAAAAAAATTATTTTGTCATTTCCTATTTTTCGTTTTACGGAGTTGACTGATTTGACAATTTGGCAGCTCGTTTGGAACATTTCGCAGCTAATCAATTTTAATAATTACATCCTGTGTATTTAACTCCTTCGCACCCATAATGGGATCCCGTGTGTTGATGTTTGAATACTGTCGTTTGATGTGAAAGCAAGGTAAAAGAGGTTTGTAGGATTATACAGTTAGTATAATATATCCCACGTTTAGCATAGTTAACCCCTTAGTATGTTTGACTGCTTGTTTGAGTCTCTTCCGTTCTGCACCGTGAAAGGGTTAAATTTTTGTACATGCACATCCTAACACTGTGACATCATTTATCGTTCAACGACACCAATTAATTAAAATATAGTATCACGCTTAAAAATATTTAATAAAAATATATATATACGAATTAGTATCTCTCCACACGAGTAAACATTACATTAATAGAACGTTATAATCGTAGATCAAAGAAGCAATGTTTTCTCCCTCGTGTCGCAAGAACAATTGGATTCCAATGAAACAATCCGTCTTCGAATCAATCTACAGAGTGGTCCAAAAGTAACCACTATTTCCAAGAAATTCTATAAATTTGGAACGAAAAATGAAAATCAATTATAAAAAGAGAAAATTCGCCCCATAACTAGCTCTTTTATCACGTAATTATACTTCGATCATTTTAGTGACGAGATAAAGATTTTTCCTTGGAAAAAGAAAAACGAAATCAAATAGCCAATTTTGAGAAAAGTTACTAAACCGTAGAATTAGCAATTCTACATCTCGATGATTAATATCTCCATATTTTTATTTTCCTTTTATTTTTATTTCTTTAATAGATGCGTCATTGGTCTCGGTTACTTTTAGAACACCCTGTATAGCACGCGCTCAAGCATCGAGATAGACACGCGGTTAGATTGCACCAAACCGACAAACAATGCGCTTTATCGAAGATAAAATTATTTCCAACGCGTCATACCGCGTGTCGCCGTGATCCCGAAGGCCTCGAATATCCCTAGATCTATCGTAAACACTTTCCCCAAAGGTCGCGCGGCCCGTATTTATTGGGTCGTAACGTTCGAAATGTCCGTCTGCAAACAGGCTTGTAATGTTTCCTTTAAATTGTCTCGCCGCTTAAAATGACGTTTTCATGGAAACGGATATCAAGATAAGGCACGAAGTCGGATATCTTACATTTCGAAGGAAAATTCCCTAGTTCCTTTTTCAAGCGTTCCGCACTAGATCGTGCGAATCGAAAGATACAAAATCGATTTATTTCTTCACGATTTCGAGTCTCGGGGTAATTATGCTGCGAAACCAAGGCAATTAACGGGAATATGAATGAAACGAAACATGAAACGCTAACGCGGTATTCCTAGAAACCAAAGTATTACAGTCGAGGATCGAGACTTATTATTTCCCCGATTTACATACAAAGCTGAATTTATTTAAGCGAACTGAAGGACGGAACCTTGTTACTTAATAGCGAAAACAAAGAAATTAGCGCTGATATAAATGAGCCAATAACTTAACGCGTTAACTCTAACATTAAGATTCTGCGAAATGGAGTTTCTTAATAGCAAAATAATTACGAATTAATTGCAAATAATAAGTTACATCTCGTTAACTTTTTCTTCAGAATTAGAAAAACAAATTTTACCTGCTCATCGCATAAAACAAATCTGTCAGAGAAAAAACTAATACTGCAAGAATTATTACGAGAATTATCACAAGAAATGTACAATATTTTTACACGCTGAACTGCAATTATATTTTTATTTTCTATTTTCTTGAAATTTTTCAATAAACTTTCAGCTTCGAGTATAGAATTTGTCCCCTTTTATTTCATGCTAATAATATACCTAATTTTTCCCTTTACCTTTTGCCAACAATACACTCGATTCTTCCCCTGCATTTAATACTAATAACACATTCCCTACAGTATGGCTCATCGATGACCTTCCGTTTCAGACCAGTTATCTTCTCTGCTAAATCTGGCATAAAATATTTCGCGAAATAACCTGTTGATGCCCAGAATATCGATAACTTTAGTTCCGTCTCGTATTTCGAATGTTACATATTTTATCCCGAAATATTTTCCCACTCGCGCACAAATAATAGACTTTTAAATTTGTGCATTTAAAACGTGTCGAAACACGCAAATAAAACGTACAAGATACGAAAATATAATTCTTCGACATACATAGAAATGTAGTATATTACGTACACGCGATATGCAAACAATGTGTGAAATACGTTACAACAATAAAACATTGATAACATAAGTATCGTAATTACAATTGAAATCCCGATAAACTATGGCCGTCTTTCCCGCGTTAGTCTCAATTAATTAACCTCCTTTATCAATTAAAATGAATTCGCAATTCGACATCTACCGATGTGACGGAGCCATATTTAATTTTACCCAGATACCATTGTTAGTCGGTAACTTAACCTCTAAAAATCTCACCGATTCGAAACTTAAACTTTCAAATTAAAATTTCCCCTCAAAAATATTGTACATTTCGTTTCGAAACGGTTCTTCCTCCACTGGAGGAAAATTATTAACCTGTTTGAAACCTAATTTTTGAACTGGAATTTCTCTTCGAGAATGCACTTCGTTTCGAAATAATTCCCCCTTGAATAGCGCGGGAAAAAAAGAATTGGTCCACGGGCAGCGAACGTGATAAAATATACGGAGAGGTTAGGTCGGCCCGTTACGAAATAGAATATTACAAAGGCGTTGTAACGCGCGGGATAAAAACGTCTCGACCCCGAACGACGATCGCCTCGATTAGGCTGCTTCTCCGTTTAATAGAACGTGGCCAAGAAGTCGGACATTTCGTACGTTTCGACTGGCTACAAATCGAAGAACGTCTCGCCCCACCTGCCCCCACTACTCGTCTAGCCTCCTCGAGGATTCCTACGGTTTTTTGTTCCCCGGGAGCAAAGTTTTCCTTCGCTCGACATCGAAACTCATAAAACCCATCGTGTTTTTCACGTATCGTCCGTTCGACGTCAGATAAGAGTCGGTCGATAAGCGTCCTTCTCGGAATCCTCTAATACCGACCAGGAGCGACCGGATACCCTGGCGAGAACCGATCGAACGACGACATCCGGATGCACAGACGTAATACGGTCGCCATTATCCTAATCGTACGGTAATCGATGAGACACGGTCGATTGATCGACACGTTCTGTACCATGCGAGAATCAAACGTTCGAAAGTGAGGTTAACGCGGTATTTGTTTATCCGAACGTAGAAATCACTTCGAAATATTTAATTATTGAAAATTACTCGATACTTCCTTTTTTTAATACTAATAAATAGTGTTAAAGGCACTAGAATTCACTAGAATATTGAATTTTGGAATATTAATTATTTCAATTTATAGGTTAGATTTTTTCTGTGGTTTTATTTATTTCGGGAATGCAATGGTGTGATTTGATGAATCTCGAATGTTAAAAATTGCAAGTTTATGTTACTCGTGAGTCATCCGACGCAAATTACGTTCATAACCTCCAAATTAGTCTTTACCTCCACCTTCTGCAGGTAACAATAGTTTTTGACCAGTCCGTCTAATGAATGTGTAATGATCCATCCATTATGGCGGATCATGAGTAATTCCCCATGGCGCAGAACGTGTTAATACGGTGTTCAAAATTGGGATTCTTTCGCGGTATATCGGGTGTCTGGTTTGGACGTTATTTGAAAAATATCTGGAATAATAACTAGCGTTTGAGGAAACGGTTGTTTGTCTCGATAGGATAGACACGAATAACGTGATTAAAAATATATTTACCACAGAACTCGCATGTTTTCCAGATTTTTATCGCACCGCCAATAACAACGGAAACATTTCATACGATTACAAAAATGTAAAAAGAAAAATAAGTGAATAAAGTTATTGCCATGGAGCGAGTATTTTTTTCTTTGGAACGATAATAATTAAAAAATGAGAAAGAAAAATTTGTTTGAAGTAGGAGAAATACGAGGTATAGCAAAGTAATATTTTAATTTTTTCGTTGCAATGATTGATGCTAATGATCGTTAGTAGTATCACACTGAATAACATTCTGCATTTCCTGCAATATGAAAACTCGTGTCCATCTATCAAGGCCTGGATTTAATGAGACAAACAGAATGACAGCTTGTACTTTAAAATAGCATTCGCTTTCCCCTTAATGATTACGCGTAATTTACTTATATTAACGTTTCATTAGCGGCCGTTACAATGATATAATTAAAACGAAATTAATCGAGTAAAATCGCTTGAAATTTACCATGGAGAGGATAATAACGCTACTTGTTAATTACAATTTCGTTTGATGGTGTTTCATTGTGATATTACATTGTATACGGTATATACAGCGGGCTGCTTATTAGGCTAATGGATTCAAGAAAGTTCCCTAGCCTAGTCGAGAAAACCAACGCTGGAATTAAATGTTTCCAATTGCTAATTGTGAAAACTTTAATTTCACTCTTACTCCCTTTTTGCGTGTACCATATTTTTCATACGAATTCTACAACTTTCGATTACCACCTCGCGAGATATCGCCATGAGCACTGTCGATAAATTCGTCACACGAAGAGTAGTGACTCTCAACCGCGGAGCCGCCGCAGCGTGGCTGGGAGCTACTGCGCCGTGTTAGAAATGATATTGACTTATCATTGACGCTCGTTACATCACTTCACGAAAGCTTCCTCGAAACCGCGTGTCATTCTATCTCGCTCCACCTTGACACGCTAATTACACGCGATTTAATCTTTCCGACTTTTCCCTCTTATATCAAACAAGTTTCTGATGCCTTTCGCGAAAACTATCATGCAAAAACAACGGAGTCTCCGTAGAAACGATTGGAATCAAAATTTTCGGCATAGTTAATATATCGGGTTCGAAGGGGCAGAAACTACGAAATATAAGAGACAGGGGATTCTTAACGCGTCATGGTATTTAATTTTGTGGAATTATGTAACGGAAAGAATAATTGAATAAAAACCGAGAATTGGTCACGAAGTGGTAATTAATAATAAAAAGTTGAGCAATTTACAGAATACTAAAAAAGAGAGACGCGATGACAGTGAAGAGATACTAAAGAAGATTTATTTACACACCATTACTTATCAACAAACGCTAAAAACGAGTCAGATTCAACTTCGAGTTGAACACGTTAGAGTCTTATATTAGTCAACACTATATACCATTATACACAGCGTGCGCTAATTACGCACAAAGTTTAAACCTAACCCGGACCGGTGACCCCGATATACATATCACGTGTTCTCTGTTCAAACCAGACACCCTGTACCAATGTATTAATATAACTGCCATTGCTCGGTTAAACAGTGTATTGCGCGAGTATTAGGTTAACTGTAACCGTATTATCCGCGTAGTCGGATACCACGGTTGAACAATCGGTAACTAACCTGCTTACATTCGGATATTTGACTATATCCGCTGAAAACCGGTGTACGCCGACTCAATTTCGCTCGACGCACGCTTTTTTCCGTCTCTCGCTACTACATCGTCATCATCGCCCTCTTCTTCCCCTTCCCCTTCACCCAATGACGCAACGCGACATCAACGCGACTCCCGAGATGGCGGAGGGAGAGGGAAGACACGACAAGGAATCGCGACCGAAAACAAGCAGTGCTTTAATGCGTGAAAACGTTATTCGAAAAAGTTCTGACCGATCATGTCGCAATCCCTTTCTCTAGTTATGCAGTCGTGTTCCAATTCCTAAGAGTCGAGTCAGGCAAAAGTGTCCGACCGAACGAAACGGATCGGCCGTCATTATCCTACTGACACACTTTAAGTCGCGTACCTTGTACGGAGAGCAAGCCTCGGCCTTGGCCACCTTCGCGAATATCTGCGCGATCTGCCTGCCTCGGTTGGTTGTGTCGGTTGAGGAAGAGGCAGCGTGGAAAACGGAACGGATTAGCCGTGACCACTGCTGCCACGTGTTCTGGTGGTCCAATGTTTTCGATACACCGTCGACGAGCGCTGCCTCACCGTAAACGGGACACGGCTTCGCGTTGGTATTTATTTTTAAATACTTGCTGCGCTTCCACAACACGCTACAGTGTTCCCCTTCATCGATACATGGAAGTTTCCACTAGGTGTATCCGTATGTAACACTACGAGCATATGGTTTCACGGGACAAGTGATGTCCGGCTAATGGATCTGGAGTACGACGCAAAAAAAAGAACGTACTTGGAGCACTGTGTCTTTTTCGCGTGCCAGGTTCGATACGCGGTGTATATCACGCGATTCGCAGCTCGACGTGTCTTGACGTTTCTCACTACGCACTCGATATAAACGAACAACAGATAATGTCGCAGGGAGGTCGCGTGGAATATGGATACTAACGCTTTTTGAAAAGTTCCTTCGCCGATAGCTCTCGTTCCACTTTCACTTGGTCGATACGTCACACGCGATCATGAATACGATGTAACGACGGTATTTCACGTGCACGTAACGAGATCAGAGAGACATATGCGTGCACGAGGTAAATTACGCGTACATCTAGAATACGATACGGTGCGACGTGGTGCGCAGTAAACAAAACACGATGCGCACCGGCCCAAGTCTCGAAGCCGACTGACGGCCCCCCACTACACGGCTCACGAGTCACCCTTCACCGGCGACTAACAGCTGATTTGGAAAACACCGAGATCCGCCCAGTGACGGATCGAGCAAATGGGGTACCCGGCTCGTTGCGTAATAGTAGCTAATGTTATTTTTCCATTTTATGATACTCCAATTAACTGCTTCGCTATGACACATGGCTATGATGAAAAATATATAATTAAATGCATTATAAAAAGCGCTATACTTATAGATATTTTATATTATCGATATTTGTTTTTTTTTTTTTACAAAATTTCTTGAAAAAATAAGATTAGTTAGAGAAGGAAAATTAATTATTAACTTTTTTACGATTTAATCGTTTATTGCTTGCGTCACTGACAAAGTGTTCGTTGCTGTAATATTTTTATCGATTAGTGTTCCATTTACGTCGCAATCGCATTGAGGTTTTGCATGTGAAACGATTTCGCTCGCATTTCGACAAAATTTCGCGTATCGAGAAGAAAATCATATATCGTGAATCGTAAATATCGTATCCCTTCCAGAACACGCCCCCCCCCCCCC